GTATTTTACACCAAAATGTGCGTCTTGGTCTGCGGAGTATCGTGGTATACTTTACATCCCTCTAGGGCAGTGGGGAGCCGAGATACAGTAGGCCAGGGTCGGCTGGGGAGGAGAGAATCTGCGGTTTAGCCCTCACCACTTCGACGTCGCCCTTCTTGCCGACGGCATTACACGTCTCCGATTTCGACTTGATGGGCTCTTTCTTTGGCTTTGTTGGCGCCAGGATTACCGTTACAGGCTGAAGATGAAAAGATGCTGTACATATATGACCTACATCAACATGTTTCTCCTCTTTACGCGCCGCAGGACGAGAGCCGGTGACAAGTTGGGGAGGGCTGAATAAAAGGGTAAGGCCGTAGCCCACCAGCCGACCCCGATATGTATCAGACTTCCTTTTTGCCTTCAAGTATAGGAAAATGCTCGTTTTCCCTGATGTGCCTTTTAGCATACGTTAATGCCCCCGCAGGACAACGGGGCGCGTAGATACAGTAGGCCAAGAAAAGTGAATTGTCTCGATCCAGCGAGACCTCTTTGTGAAGAGATGATGGAAGAAAAGGAAGACAAAGAAGACGAACATCTCGGCCAGATAAGTGAGCACGAATACGCTCTTCAACACATTTGTGGTTTTCGTCTGAATTCTCTCACCGCAGCCAGCTTCATCGCCTCCCATTGTTCGGGCACCACCATTGCCCCCAGAAGATGTAGAGATGAGTGGAGATTATGATTTTGTTTTCATTTGTCGCTGACATATGAACTATATTTATTCAAGCGGTATATGCAAATTTAAGGGTAAACATCTTTCATCGTCTACAGGGTGTCCCAAAAAAAACGACCCATCTGGCATTTCGCCGTGTTACATCCAACCGGTCCCAAATTTGGACCAAAGGTGTATCAGACCCTAAATAACAACAATCCTGACTTATAGCCCTGTAGCTTTCGTGGTTCTCGAGTTACAACGAAAATACTGTTTTTGCCGGAGTTCTGAACAGTTTTTTCGGCTATCTTTTTTGGACTTTGCATCGATTTGCATCGACTTGCGGCTGTGAATCCCTAATTTCGCTTAAGAACTTGGGTAATTTTGTGTTGTAAAAATCGCTTAAATCAAAGTTTATTTAATAAATTTTACTCTGGAAAAAATTTCTTAGGGTAAAGAAGGCCTACCGGAACATTTTCGCGTAATGTTTAGGGGGTCTAATTCCACGAAAACCCTAAGAAAAATGGAAAATTAAGTTTGTTTTCGCTATAACTCGAGAACTACTATAGCTACGGGGCTATAAGTCAGGATTGTTGTTATTTAGGGTCTGATACACCTTTGGTCCAAATTTGGGACCGGTTGGATGTAACACGGCGAAATGCCAGATGGGTCGTTTTTTTTGGGACACCCTGTAGTTCCGTAGAGCAAAAATACATTAGTTTTGCATCGAAAGTAGAGAAAGCTTGTGTGAGTTAAACCAGATAATTCAAGCTTTATTCCAAACAATCGTCGAGATGCTGTGTCCTTCGATTTTCATCGTCAGCACCCGTTCCGGCATTAATGGATCATGAATTTCCACGGTTTTTTCGGAGTCACCTAAATATTTGAAAGGCCATAAACCCCGGGATTACCTCGATTTAGAACGACTGCAACCCGTTTGGACTTAAAGGAAAATGCGACGAGTTTTAGGGCGGGATCACGGTCGAGAAGCTGCGATTTGATTCGCGTAGATCCCACTGGCACCCAGGCGCTGCAAAATAAAAATGAAGAATCACGACTCGACGTCTAAACTGCAGATAAACCACCTCCACTGGCTGGCAGAGGGGGGTAGGCCTATAGTCGCTGCGGAATTATACAATCCTGACACACCTAAAATGCCCGAGCGCATAGTAGGTGGGCTGTTTGTAGAACTCGTCACTTCCCCTCGTCCCATTCCGTAGAATCGGTGCGTCGGCGTTGTTGGCAACGAACGTGGGTCCGCCTGTTGTATCCAGCACCAGATTCCAGTCCACCCAACCCGACACAAAGTTGTTCAGGTCCTAAATAAAGGCTTTCTTTTTACCATGCCCCGATTATCGTGCCGTAACGGTCAAAATGTTATCAAATTGGGAAATCGCTTGTATCTCGAATGCTCAAGAAGCAAAATTTCCGGAAAATTGAGACTAGGTCAATTATATAGCGCGGCATCCGAGGACAGTATCGAAATAGAGCAAAATTGTAAGTATCTATGAAAATATCAAACATGGCATTTTTCCTTGTAGCATCGACGGTTTACAAAACATCACCGTCGTGTAACGAAAAACACCTGTCTTGGTCAGTTGTTGATTTTTGCTAATCGCAACAAATTATTAAACACTTAAACTTACAAATCTGCGCAATTCCGCAACTGTCACAGGATTCCCGCTATATAATTGGGTTAGTCTCAAATCTTCGGAAAATTTGGAGACGATTTTCCAAACCGATAACTTTTTGTCCGCTACGGTACATCAATGATGTCGGCGGCGTAGTTCTCTGCTCGACTCCAATCACCCAGGATTGGCCCGTGAACGCCAAGGAAGCCGGAACAGGCCTGAACAAATGTTGCTCCTTCCTACAAGACATTCAGGGGGACCTCTGTGGCCAGAATAAACTTGTCAGGATGTCGTAGCGCGGTCTCAGTCAGAAGAGAAGCCGGCGCGAATGCATCCATATACCAGTGGACGCCGATGCCGTCTGCATATTCTCGCGCTTTCGCATCGGCAAAAACCTAGATACTACGATAATTTGATTTACTTCAAAGACCCCCACCCCACCGCCGGACCTCGGTTACTGTATCTCGGATCCCCGCTTTGCTACAGGGCTGTAATTTTTTCAACACACTCTGAGACGAAGACGCAGATTTCCAAACAAGACCCCTTCTAGCGGTCCGCAGTGGTGTCTGATTTTTACGATTTAGGTATCTATAGAACGATCTCGAAAAACTGAGAATCTCCGATTTGTGAAAATCCCAAACTTATAACGCGATTTTCATCGTTTTTTGGGCATAAATTTCGCACTTTCTGCAAAAACTCAATTTTATCGGGATCAGCTGTGTTTTCTCAAATGCCTTTAAAAAAGTCGACCGTGGGATGCCAGGAAAGATGTAAAAATTTGGAAATGGGTTTTTGTTACAAACGCTTACATGGGAAAAAACATCGAAAATTGGCAGGGGGGTCTTTTTTGGGACACCCTTTACAGGTTTCTAGAGCCAAACTGCGGCCTAGCCTGACCAGAATAAAATAGGCACAAGCGGAAATGGCGAATCGTCCGTTTCTCCACCCACCTCATCAGCCCAAGCAGGCAGTTGAGGCCGATCATCGTCAAGGATCAACACCTTCAGACCTCGCGTTAGAGGCGAACCTTTTAGACGAGGCCCCAGATGGTTTACGAGGAAGTGTCTGACACATTAAAAAGTTACTGATGATCCCACAACAATACGATAAAGGTAGAAGAAAAACCTGGCCAACTGCGGAAGGGTTGGATCTCTAAAAAAATCTACCTCTGCATGGATGCATTGAAGTACATGGTCTGCCAAGTATAATCAGGATTAATCCCGGAGGTCGGCTCGTTTTGCATCGTCAGTCCCCAGTAGAGAATCCCATTTGCCGCATACTGTTCGAAAAATCTGGGAAAGCAGATGAGAATAATTGCCAGTTAACGTCGCCAACTTGACAAAATATGAAGCCCATGTTGAGTAGTATGGTCCATCTAATGGGCCTCGTAACGCCGCCCCGCCTATCATTCGACCATTTGTCTTCATCCAACCTATGGTTGAGGAGTTTTGTTTATAGCGCATATCCAGGCGACGTCCTTGTGATGCTACGGGTGCGCCTATTTACGGCTGCTCCCCACAAGCTGTCCCAACCCCCTCCCCCCTCCCCGTAACTAGAGACCCGCAGACCTGTCCTGTTTACGATTTAGATATCTAGCGAAAGCCCTTGACAGGCGGAGGAGATATGTTCTTCCCGCTTGGCCAAATAAGTTGGGGTTTTTTTAAAAAACACGTTTAACTTTGAGATGAAAAATGTCGGCATTTTGAAAATCGAAGATCACGAATCTCTTCAGCTTGTCTTGAGCTTTCGGTAGATACCTAAATTATAAAAATCTGACATATCCATCGGCGGGCCGCTGGGTTGGACCGGGCAGTTGTGTGTGTGTGTGACTTCAGAGAACCTACCAGGGGCTGACCAGGGCGAGGCAAACAACTTCAAATTCCCGTTGGCGATCAATTGGGCGGTCTTGATGAATGGGATCTGGAAAATGAGATTCCCCCGCAAGTATCCACATACCTTATAATCGAGATCCTCGGGTTGTAATGCGAAAGACTTGAGCTCCAGGTCTCCGCTCGTGTCGGCATATGAATATTCTCGAGTGCCAAAATCGGTGCTAGCCATTGGGACACGGCCGAATGTGTAGCCGATACCTGAATATCCGTTTTACATTGCGAGTCCATCCGTTGGTTTTTACTTTATTTCACTCGATGCAAAACATCAAAACGTAGCAACACGTAACAACACACGACAGACTTACCATTTTCCGGGGAAAAATATGCTTCAAGCAGTTTGTGCGCCGCTCGGTGTGACAAAGCGGCCAGGTTCAATCCAGCAGCATCACTGAAAGCCCCTCCAAAGCCAAGAATATTCTGGAAGAATGAACGGGCGTCAACAAGGATCCGGACAGCCGAACTTGACCAAGATGACGATTCTGGAATTTCTAATTGAGTTGTGGTGCAATTGTTCCGCCACCCCTCACCCAAGTCGATCACAACATTGTATCTTTTGTCCCCGCAATGTTACAGGGTTATAAAATATACCGAGATACTCGACAGGCCACGATGAACATTTTCGTATATACAGCTTTCTAGTAAGAAAGACAACCGCGCTACAAGAATTCGGGCCGGCTCGGGGCTGCACTCCTACCCCAATTTAACCTGATCCAGAAGTACCCTACTCTTGCTTCTAGGCTGGAACATGCGTTGTTGGACGTGGAACCTTTTCCCGGAAAGGCTCGAAGTGATGATCGAAGCGCCATATCGATCAAGCTTCGGGAGCTTCTGAAATAAGGGGTCTTGTCAATCGATCATATATTTTGGTGCTTTCGCATTATCGGGGGGACCAACTTCTTTCCTTAGTATCGGATTTTTGTAAAATAAGTAAAGGAAGTGTGCTTAGACAGCTTTTCCCTATTTCTAAACACAAATAACATTTTCGAATTTTTCAAAGGTTTTTATGTAGTTTTGTGGGCTGAAACTGTGGTTAAGTTTTACTAAAAACGCTATTAAAATATTTACTAACGCTTTTAGAATACTACTGCGTTACTAGACATTTTTGGACAATACAAAAAGGTAGCACGCCTCCCCCCCCCCCCGATACTGGGAAAGCACCTATTTTTTGGCGATTCATGCGCTATGACCTCTGCTACAACAAGCATCTTACCGGCACAGAATCGCAATAGGTATCATTACAAACACAAACAATTCGATCGGATCCGAATCTCTTAGAAACGCAACCTTGTCCAGCAGCTAATCCTGTAACCATTATAAATACCCACGAAAATCCGGTTAGAAACCTATAAGTGCGCTGACAAAGAGCAGTACTGGGACCCACATCGATTCGTCGAGCAATGAACAGGGGGGTATATGTTTGTCATCACGGTCTGTCTGACACTTTATAAACATCAAGTGTGTGTCTGGCAAATTGCGTGTTTTTCTGAGGATCAATGTTTTCTTTTCCTTTTTGTATATTCGTCCAAAGTAAGCATTTATTACGCATAATTTGTATGTACATACCCATTTCATGAATAATGGCATGATTCGAGGTAAGAGTGTAGCTGACCCCAAGCCTATCTTGTGCAGAATTTTGCGCTGATCAAGAAGTACTTTGCAGAATCTGCGAAACGCCAGTATTTCAAAAAAGTTACGAAGCTTTGAAGTGTGAAAGATGCCCAAAATGGCCAACTTTCGCCGTTTTTCTCCTTTTAAACCGTCCTAACTTTCTTATTTCGGTCGTTTTGCGGATTCTGAAACCGAGGTTTTAAACAGCAAAAAATTCTGCACAAAATATCCTTGGTTGCATTTCGAATCATAAAGAACACCAAAAAAAACGTCTCCCTGTTAGCCCGATCCTGTTCGTCGAACGGATGTTGCGACCTCACATCCACTTCAAAAGCTTAAGCATGCAAAGCTTGAGATGTGAGACACTTGGGTTGCACTCAAAAGGCAGTGGCCAGATCACGGCAAAACTTTTGTTACTAGAGGAAGTCCGCATTCGGCCAAATCATCCATTTCAGAATATTCTCCCGCATACGACAGTTGCATTGGTTTGAAGGTGGAGAGAAGCGGCGGCCTCCGTACTCCGGCCACTCTACCCATTCGCCCAGGGTTCCATGTTAGACTGTGATTCGGGTGGATGAATGTCGAATAGGGGCTCTTTCCACTTTCAACCATTGATCGCGGCCTTCCCCATTGATGAATGCCATACAAATCGTCTTCCGGCAATTGACCCATCGATCGGCTCGTCACAGCTCTAAAAATTTGGATTGCGGCTGCTGGTATGCCTAATAAGGAGATGTTTTTGAGTGGCAATCTAGCTTCCGTAGGGCACCAAGCCTATCTTGTGCAGGATTTCACGCTGTTTCCCATCCGTTTTTAATAAATGCTGAACGACTATTTTGAAGAACTTATGGGGTGTTTTAGTACCGGAAAAGGTCAAATATACTCCAAACTTCGCAAAAAACTTCAAAAGCTTGTTTGAAGGAGCATCTTTTTCTGAGCGACGTGTGTTAAAAATTTTCATCAAAAACTGGTTCTGTAAGTTGTTGCGGAGGTTGCACGCGGACATTTTAACCTTTTACGGCACTAAACACCCCATAATTTCTCTAAAATCGTCGTTCAGCACTTTTTGAAACCGGATTCGGAATCGGCGAGAAATTCTGCACCAAATGGGCTTGGCCCATCTCGAAGCTCCAAAACCAATAAAAAAAACCACTCCTTGTAAGCTGGCTAACCCGGAGTATAAGCTAAGGCTAGATGTTTGTGTCTCAGTCGTCGCCTGCCGGTGTTCGAGACGTGTTCTGGGGAGACCGATGTCGTGCTTCGCCATTCGTTGAGCCCTTTGTCGTGCGCATAAGGAGAAGCAGGACAAATGCAATGAGACATCCGCTGCCCGCGGCAATCCACCACAACCCTCGTTCATCAACGATAGATCGCAACATATCAATGGCACTACCTCTCCTGAAATTTTTCGCTTTACGGAAATTACAATCATTTCGCCCCCCTTCCCCCCCCCCCCGGTAACGAACCAGAACCGAAATTCTTCAGGCTCTACTGACCACGGGACGCTGTGAACCGGTGAGACTTGAATCTCCTGAATACGGGAGACTTGGCTCCCATCTTCGATTTTGTCACATCCCAACGAGCAACAGCCGTGTCCTGCAGGACACTTGTAGTAGATCGCTTCCGTCTTAAAAAACGTGAGTTCGTAAGGGTTCTTTTCGTTGATTTAATCCCACCCTCACCCCACTGCACCCGAGTCCTTGCTTAAAACCCAATATCCGCAACCTGCTGAGAAAGTAATGCACGATTCCGATCGTGCCCTAACACAAAAAAAAGATGTGTCTAGAAGCCATTTTCAAAGACAAACCTCGTACATCTTATGAGATGGACGTACGTACCCGGATGTGAAATTGAGTGCGGTTTTGGTAGAGCTGGTCGAATTGACTGAGCCGATAGACACAGTTCATACCCGCCTTCTTCTCCAACGAATAGAGAATGTCCCCTTCGACCACCTGAATTCAGCAATATGTGATAAAGCCCGAAAATGTCTACCTGGTAGTCATTATAGTACTGCCTCGCTCGAGTTGCAACCGCGCGCCTCAAGCGTTTCCGCTTTTCGGTGATTTCGCACATGAATTTCTGAAGCAATTGAATTCCTAGCTCTTTCGCATGATCACGTGAGCCCAACATTTTTTCTTTAGTGTCCAATTTCGCTGAAATAAATAGACGAAATTTTTTGTTTAACCGGTTTTGCTATTCCCGAAAACAAAACCTTCAAAAATTGTGCTCAAACAATTCAAAATTTCAAAATGCTAAAAACGCTTGAAGTTTTTGGATCTGAAATTTTGTTAAATGTGACGAAAACCAATATCGTTAATAAACATTTCTCGGATCCCCTTCCCGATGATGCGAAAGAACCGAACTTCTCCAAAATATATGTCACCAGTGGAAAAAAGCCCGCTTCGTGGCCCTTTTCCACTGGACCCCGTCCATGAACGATGAATTCGAATACCTTCTTTTTTAGCCTGCGGCGCAAGAACCTGCGTCAAGGAGCCATTCTTAGGCCTGCGGCGCGAGAGCCTGGGCCAAGGACCTTTTCTTTAGCCTGCGGCGCTAGAGCGAGAGCCAGGCCTAAACCTCGCGCTAGAATCTTGTTGCCTGCAGCGCTAGTTACTGGTTTTTCTCCAGGATTCAGCCTGCGGCGCAAAAAAACCTGGAGTCAAGGAGCCATTTCTCTGGCCTGAGGCGCGAGAGCCTGGACCCAGGCCTCTTGCCTGCGGCGCTAGGAGCGAGGGCCAGGCCCAAACCCTCGCAAATAGAGAGCCTCGGAACATGTTTGTTGTTGAACTACCAAA